CCGAGTGGTACTAGTGAAATCATGGAAGCCATCATTCCCAGTAACTGTAGTACRGTTTTGAAGCTCAGTTTGCGTCCCAGTTGAAACTGAGCTAAGCAGTGGTGAAATGCGGCCGCTCTGTTTTCTGAGAGGTGATGCCCTGCTTGACAAGGAGCAGATTTCTAGTCCGAGGAACGAAAACTGCTGACTTGGTGTTAATRGACTTTTCTGGGTGTTTACTAAAAACCCTAAAGCCTGAATGTGTGACAGAACCTGAGACAGCTGATCTAATGTTTGCTCCTTGGAGCTTGCGATCAGAGCCCAGTCATCTAAATATGCTAACAGACGGACCCCCCTTTCCCTGAGGGGAGTCAACGCAGCTTCTACACACTTTTGAAAAGGTGCGAGGAGCTAGCGGTAGACCGAACGGTAGCACCAGATACTCGTAGGCTACATCCTTGAAGGCGAACCTGAGATATTTTCTGTGCTCCGGGTGAATCGCTTTGTGAAAATAGGCATCTGTAATATCGATGGTCGCAAACCAATCGCCCGGGCTGATCGAGTGAATTAGCTGTTTGAGCGTTAACATTTTRAACCTGTATGTTTGAAGGTACCGGTTTAACACTCTCAGATCCAAAATAGGCGGCAGGCCGCCCCCTTTCTTCGGAACAAGAAAATAACGGCTGTACAGACCATTTTGTGTTTCTGCAACTGGAACCACTCGAATAGCTCTCTTTGTTAGCAACGTGCAAATTTCCTCTCTTAAAATGGCGGCTGCCTCGTTTGTCATCACTKTGTTTACAATGGCCCGAAAGCGAGGCGGCCTGACGCGGAACTGCAGCCTGTAACCCATAGCAACAGTTCTTTGTACCCATGGAGAGGGTGCGCATGCGCGCCAGAGAGGGAGTCGTGTTGCTAAGCGACTGACTTGCCTTCCTGTTGGAGACGTGTCGCTGCTGCCTTCCACTGGATGGGGAAGGGACAACATTATTGACTGTCGCCCGCAGCTTATTGTGTTCATTTGTGCACAAAGATAATTCTTTAATGACACATTGAAAACATTTGCAGAACTGTTTATTAAAGTTTTGCATTTTAAAACACAATTTGCACCTAGGGAGGGGGCTACACGTTTTTTGTTTATTTTTCGGTACATTAACAGAGGAGACTGAACATTTGAAACCCGACGCCTCTTGGGGCCGTTTTCTGAAACACAAACATTTAAATGTCTTTTCAACTGCAGCTGAACATTGTCTCTCTGTTTTTGAAGTCCCTGTGAAGACAGTCCTGCTCTTAGGAGGACTTTGACTTCTTCTTCCGAGCCGTTGAACTGTCCTGCTGTCTCGGAGGGGGCCTTTGCTCCATGCCGATTGACGGGGAGGCTGCGGCTTGCTGGAAGGTTCGGCGGGCTGGGCCTTTGAAGTCCCGGGCGTCACCTCCTTCTTGAACGGAGGAGGATGAGACGCAGACCTGGATGTGCTCGGGGCCTTGGGCCTCGCGTCGCATCTGGGGATGATGCAGCGAAGTGCCTCAGCCCGCTTCTTCCTCTGTTCAAATTTGGTTTGGATGACGTCAAGCGCTTGACCAAACAGTCTTGTAGRCGTTATCGGTTCATCCAAGTAGGCCGCTCTGTCCTTGTCGGGAACGTCTGAGAGCATTAGCCACAGGTGCCTCTGCGCCACCACAGTAGAAGCCATTCCTTTCCCCAGAGCCAACGCTGCACAGCGGGACACACGCAGGATGTGGTCTGACGCCAGTCTGATCTCGTTCAGCAGGGGTAAAAGGGGGTTTTCCTGCGGCATCTGAGCCGCCAGTTCAGCCAAGGCCATGGCCTGGTAGGTCTGAAGCATGGTGACGGAGCTCAGCGCATGGGTGGTGTTACCTTGGGCTTTGTAGATTTTCTCCAGCTGTGCCGAAGAGAATCTGCAGGGAGCAGGGTGGGCCCGCTCACACCCTGGTTGTGAGACGGAGCCAAATAAGCGGCTAAAGAAGGCTCCATCGGAGGG